TCGGACGGGAGCCTCCGCCGGCCCCTGCGCTCCGTCCCTGCAACTTGCGGCTTCAGCTCACATTTTAGGAAGGTCGCCGGAGGACAGTAGGAGATAATTTCCCCGTCCTGGTCACATGCACCAGTTTACTAAACTAGCCAGCTCCCGGCTTGCTAATCGAGATTTTCAGAAAGTGGCTGCCAGCAGTCAAGTTTAAAATCGTGGAGGCAGTGCTGTCCCGACAGATTCCCGCTGATGCCACCAGAGAAACCACCAACCTCGTTTAAGGTCATGTGTGGATCCAAAACGTTTAGGAGATCCTCGCGTATCTCGTCGTGGTTACAGATGCTGAAATTGTAGGTGGACTGTCGCGACAAGTCGGCGATCTGAAGAAAGATGACCAAGCCACAAAAGACTGCGTAAGAAAAAGCCAGAGGTTAATTCTCCTGCACCGCTACGTGACCCGACAAGGCACGCAGGACAGATCTGGAGAGAGGGATGTCGGTGCTTCGCGAGCACTAGGAAAACTGGTTACCCTTGTGATTATCCATGGTGTCTTTACACGTTGTTTTGCTCCTGCTCGGCTTCGGATCGTGGCTGGCTTCATATATGTACCTGTACGCCTACGGAAATGGTGGTTTCCAATTCCATAACTGGGGCTCAGTTGGACGCCTCATGCACCTCTTTTCCAGAACTGTAAATAATAATTATTCAGACTTGAAGTTGTGTCAATAGTGATTCAAAAAGAAACTTGGGATAATAAATAATAATTGACCGCGGCATTCAAAAAAAAAACCCACAAACAAACAAACCAAAAAAAAAAACAACCCACAACCCACTAACCTTGCACGGAACAAGTGGGAATAACCCTCCCAATAACGGCATAGCGTTCACTTCCAGAGTAGTTTATTGGAGTGATATGCCATTTTCTCGCTGAGGCGAGATACGAAACGCTTCTGGGCACCTGCAGACGGGGCAGGAGGGCATGCCCTCCGTGCTGCGGTCGCACGGGCGTTTTTAGTGCAACGCTTTAACAGGGGACGGTGGGAGAGGGTGGAGGGTGGGTGGGGAGTGATCATTTCCCTGCATTGCCCACAGCTTTTTATTTTTTTCTCCTCGAAGGCGAGCGCTTTCCTTTCCATACCACCTTCCCTGGGAAGCCCC